GCACCCTTTAAAATGATGGACAGTCCCGAGGCACCCTTTAAAATTATGGACAGTCCCGAGGCACCCTTTAAAATTATGGACAGTCCCGAGGCACCCTTTAAAATTATGGACAGTCCCGAGGCACCCTTTAAAATTATGGACAGTCCCGAGGCACCCTTTAAAATTATGGACAGTCCCGAGGCACTCTTTAAAATGATGGACAGTCCCGAGGCACCCTTTAAAATGATGGACAGTCCCGAGGCACCCTTTAAAATGATGGACAGTCCCGAGGCACCCTTTAAAAATGATGGACAGTCCCGAGGCACCCTTTAAAATGATGGACAGTCCCGAGGCACCCTTTAAAATGATGGACAGTCCCGAGGCACCCTTTAAAATTATGGACAGTCCCGAGGCACCCTTTAAAATTATGGACAGTCCCGAGGCACCCTTTAAAATGACGGACAGTCCTGAGGCTTAGTTACTGCCAGAAGGACTCTCACAGGAAATCTCCAAAGGTTCATTCACATTAGAAGAAGCTGAGAGGCAGTAAAACCTTGAGGCTGAGCTGTGTTTTTACTGAACCGCTCCCCCTTTAGCTGCTTCAGCCACGGTGCTTCACTTCCGCAGGAATTATACACCATCACACGCCCACTGAGTGCGACCTATTCAAGTGAATGGGGCCGCTCTGCAAACGTTCAGCGCTGCATGCAGTTGCGTAGCGCGCCAATCCAGGATTTAGGGGGGGTGGTAAAGAAGGCAGAGAGGAGACAATACAACCTCTTCCTCGCCGCCTGTCAAACGCTCTCTGAAGAGCACTCAGCAAAGCAAGTGTGAACGAGCCCTAATGGCGACAAAGGTTTTGTGGATGGCACATACGAAGGGGGAAGGGTTTTGGGTTACCGGCTGCCTGACGATTGGCTCTCTTCACACAGAGGATAAAGTAAATACAACCCCGATAAAAAGAAAAAGAACAAAGGGTGAGAAAGCAAAGATAAAGACTCCCCAGGCGAAGTTATTGCAGCTTCAGGGAATGGGAGTCTCATACAGCAAGGTAATACATCCTAAAAGCCTAAAATATATACGCATATAAAAAAAAACAAAAAAAACAGAGGTATAGTTACATGTCACAAAAAAGGATTACAGGAGAATTACGCCGATTCTAAATGACATCACCAATGTGCCGTATGATTGCTCAGATCCTTTGTATAGTTACATTGTAAATCCCACAGCAATTTTATTCCAAGTCTAAGTGTATGTCAAGGCAAAAAAAAAATAAAAACAGCAAAAAAAACCCCCAAAAACCCCACGTGGTACATCTTTATATTACACGCACATTTCCATGTTGTATTTGTTGAACCTTTCTGAAACAAGGAGCCGGCCCTTTAACCAGCTCGGCTCTACGGCAAATGTTTTCATTTTAATTATGTAATCATTTTCATTTTTGTTATTAAAATGCCTTAAACCACCCAGAACATCATATTTCCTGAAGGCAGAGGGCCCTGTAGAATAAAAAGATGATAGCTGCAAATTTTTAATGTCGCATATTTGCGCAACTGTTTATTAAATGCAAATTTTCAGGGAAAAAAAATATAATCATGTTAATTTTAGTGCAAAAGCAAACTATAACAACCATTTTTAATTGCAAAATATAAAAGATGAGTTTGCGTCAAGTAAATAGATACCAAACATGCCGAGTTTGCGTCAAGTAAATAGATACCAAATATGGCAAGTCTTAAACATTGCATGCGCCTGTGACATCGTAAAAAACAACGGCGCCCAAAAATCTCCATAGGAGACCATTTAAAAGCCTTTACAGTTCATCAGTTTACAGCAGTGGTCTCCAAACTGCAGCCCGGGGCCAGATGTGGCCCTTTGCTTGCCTTTATCTAGCCCTCGGGGCAATATTTCTCCCACTTATATGAGGAACTATTCCTTCCACTCACACCAACAATTGGCCATAACTACTACCACTGACACCAATGATGGAGCATTATTCTATTCACCATTTCATCCACTGACACCAACAGTGGGGCACTTTTATCCCCAATGACACCAACAACAGGGCACGATTCCTCTCGCTGACACCAATGATGGGGCACTATTCCTCTCACTGACACCAATGATGGGGCACTATTCCTCCCACTGACACCAATGATGGGGCACTATTCCTCCCACTGACACCAATGATGGGGCACTATTCCTCTCACTGACACCAATGATGAAGCACTATTCCTCCCCCTGACACCAATGATGGGGCACTATTCCACCCACTGATACCAATGATGGGGCACTATTCCTCCCACTGACACCAATGATGGGGCACTATTCCTCCCACTGACACCAATGATGGGGCACTATTCCTCCCACTGATACCAATGATGGGGCACTATTCCACCCACTGACACCAATGATGGGGCACTATTCCTCCCACTGACACCAATGATGGGGCACTATTCCTCCCACTCACACCAATTGGCCATAATAATTGCCACTGACACCAATACAAGGAACTATTCCTCCTACTGACGCCAACAAGCGGAGAGCGCAGAGGGCGCGGGGCTAGCAGGGGGCCCGGGGCGAGCAGGGGGCCCGGGGCGAGCAGGGGGCCCGGGGCGAGCAGGGGGCCCGGGGCGAGCAGGGGGCCCGGGGCGAGCAGGGGGCCCGGGGCGTGCAGAGGGCACGGGGCGTGCATGGGGCGAGCAGAGGGCACGGGGCGAGCAGAGGGCACATTTAAATTCATAGATGGACATAATTGAAGTATTTACCTCACCTGCTGGGCTCCGTTCCCGCTCTCTGCCGCTCTTCCGGAAACGTCCGATGTTTCTACGCCATAATGAAATCTTGATTTTCTGAAAAACCTGCAGGAAGTGAGACAAGTGTTGATCAGCACCACTCCGCTGTGAGCTTACTGTCCAGCTTTGAGTGAAATGTTTGGGCGAGGCGGGGCACTGCTGTTCAGTGGGGGACACTTTTCTATAGAGTGACCGGGTAGCTGTCCTCCCTCATCAGCATATTACTGAAATTGAAAAAAAAAAAAAATTCTGTTCTCATTCCATATCTTGCTTCAGGCCAAGTGACACGATCACTTGGTCTCTGTGCTACTCTATGCAATGCAGGCAGATCATGGCTGGTGGGAGGGGCTGGCAGGGTGCTTTACACAGCTTCCTGAAAACATCACACCTCATTACTCCACTTAAGAGTCCTCAGCCCCGATGTAAGCAGGGGTATGATTCTTGGGAAGAGTTATGCAAATATCAAAAAGGCTTGATGGGTGGGTGTCAGTCTGGAGGAGACGGTGTTCCAAGTCAGGCTGCAGACCACCCTAAGTAACCCCCCCACATGGGATGTTGCACCGCCATGATTGACAGAACTGAAATCCAATGAATGAAGGGGGCAGACCAGGGACAGTCAGGCTGGGGAGGATATGATGCTGGGCGTCCTCAGGAAATGAGGCGGAGCTCT